AAACTGGGCATTTTCCTGAGCCAGTGGGTGGTAAATACAAATGTTGCAGTGAGATTATAGGTCTGGATGGAGCAGACTCAAAGCAGCGTGAACACTGACATCTCCAGTCCAGTGTGCACACTGTACTTCAATATTATACATTTTACAGCCATTGACTTCTCCAGGAGTAAGTCTTTGCAACTTTGCAACCCTAGAAGATATTTTGCATTATCTCCGTTCGGTTTCTATAAAGCAGTTTGGGATGTTAGCAATGTGAAAGCTGTTACATAGCATCATGGAGTCCAGTCACATATTGGTTAGGGCACTCGCCTCGCTATCAACAAGACCCAGGTTCGATTCCCAGGCAGGGCAAAACCTTAGGTAAGTTTCCTTACTCCACACGCCTATTTACCTAGCAGTAAATAGGAACCTGCTTGTCAGTCGATTGGTGTATCCCCCTCTTTCCGGGTGTTGTAACGCCTCCTCCCAAATAATGGTAATAATAATAATAATAATTTGGTCAAATCAATCCACGACTGTTTGTGGGCTACTGCTGTGTGCAATTGGCTGCTGCATTTCACCCACAAAATGCACAATCGTTCCACTTTACCTTGCGAAGCACTCGAGACATCTCAATGTCATGATAAACTGGTACATCAAAATGCAAGTACAATGTAAGTAGAAATTGGTGTTGCATCTTCAGCTATGGGAACAATTTCAGTGTTTGCACTTTAGAATCAAGTGTTTGCCATGTCTGATAAAACGCTACATGATTTTCTACAAGCAGAAAATTAAGAGTACAGAACCACGGACAATTAAACCAATGAAGTTTATCTTCAACCAAGCTGTAAACACTCTTCAGGCTCACTTGCGCTGTGAGCATGTGGTTTAAAATTGCATTCTGCAATGCTCTTTTAAATGGTTTGCTGGTGTGAAGTTATTAGACATGCTTTTCATGGACTGTTAAATACGTTGGACCCTTGTACATTATTCCCCTTCAGTCACTCTACTTTAGATCAATCCCTTCTTACTTGGGTTAAGAAGCTTATCCTCTTCTCATTCTATGTCAAAATGACAGTAGCAAAATAACTTGAGAATAACTCTTTGGGACTCCATCGAATCTAGCAGGTAAAATGTCTGCAAGATGTATTTCGTTTCTTCGCGGATTAGATAAGGATTTTTTTTCTGTTTCAAAACGGAACGTTTTTAAATATGGAAAACCTCTTCAAAGGTAAATTTTCGCACAGTTTTGAAGACATCAAACAGTCAAAAATTCCGTGTGCGAGCGGTGTTTGCAAGTTTCAATACGTGCATTGGATCATCTGTCAAAAGCATTGTCCTTTAATTTGTGGTGCTCAGTATCAGAAATAATACATGTATAGAAGACACTCCTTTAATTCACAGCAATGGCACGTTTCTAATCTGGTTATAGTCTGTAGGTTTGATGGTGAAATGGCACTGCACTTTCCAAGAAGGTGCATTTCAGTGAGTTGCTGCAGTTAGCCCATGTTGAGCAACATTAATGTTCCAGAGAGGATGCTGCACTCAATTTGGATTACAGTTGCATCAATGCTTTCTTGTAACAACTCAGCCTTAATCCCACTCTCTGATTGTTATCATCAAAACTGTGAATCAGAAGCTTGGACAATTTAAGAAGGGCAAAATATATTTTGAAACATCTTGGCTGCTTGCAATTTTCCTCAACGTTTCTACCTTTTGTTCTTGTGTCCAGAAATTAAGGGTGAGATATTCTGCTGGTTAGTAAAATTCAAGTTCACAATGGCAGAATCCCATTTAACAGACATAAAAGTCAGGAAAATAATCCTTTCTAAGTGCTTCGAAATAGCATTCATCAAACGGAATTAATTTTCCAATCTTTAGATACTTTCGAAAATGTTATTTTAAACGTTTGAAAATAGGAAGAGAATTGGACAATTGTAAGAAATTGGTTATTAAAGGCTTCTGACTTCAGAACAAATAAATCACACACCTCCTCACCTTATTCGTTTAGGAATTTATCAAATATTAAATTTATCAATTTCAGGCATCCTGTGTTATTCTGGGACTTAAAAGTTCATATTAACTTATTCCTCTTCCTGCCCTAGGATTCTGTAATAATACTCAGTGTTTGCAAGCCATTTAGAATCCACTTGTGTCACTCAATAGCTGTTGGAATTAATGTTTTGTGCTGGTGCCTTTTGTACTAGAATAGGGGAGACTGGACTCTGATTAAAGTGCTAACCACAAAGGAGTCTTTTAAATTAGATCTCCAACACTAAAACACTCGGGGACATTCCAAATAACAATTAGTGAATAGGACACAAGAACTGCCAGACAATAACGCAGTCTGGGATCCGCTTGTGGTGCTTTTAATCTGCTAAACTCGTTCCAGGAATATAGCCTCTAAGATGCCTAATTATTTAGGCCATTCGAATTATTCCTTAACAGTTATCTATTTCCCATTGAGTGATACAATACAAAATTACACACGGCACCTTTAACATCGAGAGGACGTCCCAAGGCGCTGGACAGTCAGGGATTTGGACCCGAGCGGAGGTGGGGGGGAGTGAGGGGTGGGGGTTGGGATCAGAAGTGGGGGGAGGGCACGGAGGGTGGGGGTAGGATGGTCGCCGAAGGCGCGGTCGAAGTGGAGGTTTTTGAGACGTGCCTTGAGGGAGGGAGCGAGGCGAAGGAAATGTGGGTGGGGGCAGAGAGGCTGAAGGCCCGACTGCCAATAGTAGGGCGGGGGACGTGGAGCAGTCCGGAACCTGCAGAGCGGAGGGAGCGGGCAGGTGGATGTGGGGTCAGCAGATCAACAGAGGTCGGTGGGAAAGGATACTGTGTTTTCTGCTATATTAACACATGGAGGATAACATTGTGTATTAATATCGCACTGTAAGGCACAATACCTTTAGCCAGTGAGTCTTCAGGCAAGTTAGATGTATGATGCGGCTGACACCAAGAGCCAAAGGCAAACCTACTCCTGGGCTAGCTCCTGGGCAGAATGCAGGGAGGAGTCATGTGGAGCAAATACAGTATGTGTTTGAGGCTGTGCCAGATATTGACTGTCGTTTGCGAAGCTGTTGAAACCCAGTGTTTAGGTACATGTAAGATTGCTGTGATGAAAACAGCGTATAGATTTTCTGGCACTTCTCCCTTCGAACCTAATAATTTATCAAAGAATTACGCCAAAGAATTGTGGTTCAATAAGAAGGCCTCACTTTTACCAACAAATACCCAAAAATATCATTCTTAATAATAATAATAATAATAATCCTTGCATTTGATGTAGCGCTTTTCACGTCGGGAGGACGTCCCAAAACGCTTCACAGAACACACTGTAAAGTGAATTGACTGTATATTTGTGGGCGAACGCGGCAGCCAATTGCGCACAGCAATGTCCCACAAACAGTGGTAGATTGAAAATGACCAATTTATTATTGTTTTGTTTTGGAGGGATTATTATTAGGCTCTGTGTGGAGTAAGGAAACTTGCCCAAGGTTTCGCCCTGTGCCTGGAATTGAACTCAGGTCTCTCACTTGCAAAGTGTTTGATATTAGTGTTTGATATTAGTGCCTTATCGTGTTGTCAAACATCTCAAGGGGTTTCACAGGAATATACTATAAAGTGTAGTGACTGTACTTTTGTAGGTGAATGTGGCAGCAGATTTGATTGCAGCTTTGTCCCACAAACGGCAATGAAGCGAAGGACCAATATTTTTCTGGATGAATGTTGGTCAGAACACTGGGAGAAACTCCATCACTTGTTCACTAGTGCCAGGTTACCAGGAAGGGTGGTTGAAGCCAGGATGCTGAACTAATTAAGAAAAAAACAGCTTGATGCTCTGTTGGGATCAAATGGGATGAAGGGACTTCTTCATCTGAACCTCTCTTGTGATCTTGTCAACATGGTTTTGGAGTCTTCGATGACCCTCAAGTAAATTCAAAATATACAGAATAACTTGGAAACCAGGAACTGTCTAAATCAAACATTGATTTGTTTAAAAGTCAAATTATTTGCAGGTCAAATCAAATGCAATAATAATGATAATAATAATCCTTGCATTTGAGATAGCGCCTTATCACATCTTTGCGACGTCTCAAAGCGCTTCACAGTATATACTGTAAAGTGAATTATTATTAAAATGTCTTAAAAGTGCGATTTCCACGTGTTTAACTATTTTCTCGGGTGTAGTACTTGTGTCCTACTTTGTGCTCCCTGATGTGGAAACCGCAGGTCTGTCTAGCTGCAATGCTCTCAGATTTGCATTTCCCAAGTGTTCAGCACATTGCTTTCCAAGTAGTGTAATTCTATAATTACCTCCCGAGGGTTAACAGCTCTTTGAGCACAGGGAATCTGCCACTTGCTGCCCTCCGCACCCTTTGATTGAATATTAGCTTTTCTTTGAACGCAGGAGCATTGCATATTCAGACAGGGTGTTTTGACCCATAGAAAGTGATTACAGTTGTACAGCATCTCCACCATCAAAGTATGACCAGCTCCATGTGGTAAACTACAGCACAGGGAGAAACTCCCTTCTCTTTCACGAGTCGTGCCGTGGTATTGTTCATGTTCACCTGAGCACGTAAACGGGACTGATTTAATACTTTATATGAAGAATGGCATTCCCAACAATGTAACACCCTCCCCGCCAGAAATACGGTGGAGTGTCAGCGTAGACTATGTGGGTTCAAGCCCGGATGTAAGGCTTGAAACAAAACCTTATGACTCAGATGCGAGAGAGCTACCAACTGAACTAGGCTGGCACACACACATGCACACATACACACATCTTATTTAATGCTAACAAGTTAGATATTGCAGCCATTGAAGTACACCGCAGAGGTTATTACATATCAGTGGCTTACAAATTAAATATCACACCTTAATGTTTTTTTTAAAATTATGATGATGATTGTTGATATGCTTTTCAAATGTAGGGTCAAGGAATTAGGACTCAATTCTGAATTCTGAAGGGTCGGAAGGAAAAGTTTTAAGAAAAGGTGGGACAAGGTTCTTACCTTAATCACAGACTCGTCCTCTATCCTGATGTGAGGTGTGGTGCTTTCCATGCTGTTGGAAGCAGAGCGCTGAAAAGCCATTTCTGCGAAGGAGAATCGAATCCAGTTCTTGCTTTTTTAACGAAAGAGAGAATGGTACAAACAGTATTATTATTTGGTCCTTAATGGGTCGGATTGCATATTTCAAAACAAACAGTGTTTATCACAAACAGTATTTCGCCCACAAAACATATACTCAATTCACTTTACAGTTTATTCTGTGAAGCACTTTGAGACGTCTCGATGACATGATAAGGCAGTGTATCAAATGCAAGGATTACTATTGGAGTAAGTGGAGTAAGGAAACTTGCCTAAGGTATACTTGAGCAACACATTTAAAAACAATGTGATGAACATAGCATGTCAGTCAGGGGATCAGCTCTGCTTGATTGACAGATACATTTATGCCAACAATAATTAAGCAATGATTTTGCACGCTTCACAGTACCTTATGAAATGTTATAAGTTTCACCCCCATTGAGGTTTGGTGAAACAATCTTGAATATCATTTTGACCACTCAGATTGCACCTGCACAGTTTGACGGCCTTCCTACCTCTATACTACTTTGAGTGTGAACAGAACAAGACATGCTTCAAAGATTCTTAGAAATACACTTATAATATGGAGACCTTAATTTCAGTGCAGCTTCATGACAACCAGAATGTTCTGTTACAGTGGCATAAGCAAGAACATTAATATAGTGCGGATCTACTGCAGAAACATGATGAATAGAAATACTTCCACTATTGACATTTTGAGACCACTAAATACATAAAAAAATCTCTTACATCTTCGTTTTTTNCTCATAATGAGCTCCCATAAGTATTATCATTTGCAAACCGTCAATTGGCAAAACTTCACACTAAAAATTAATTTCAGTTAACTAACTGAAATACTGACTTTAATCACCTTCCGAGCGCTCAGCTCTGAATCATATTACTGGTATCTTTATATTCAACCTCTTTGGCTGCTTCCTGGAATAGAAGCCTAATACTGCAGCATGTTCTTGTCTCACAGTTTTTTTCATGTTGTGAAGTGATGTCTTCTGTGGGCTTACGAACACAACACAACAGCACGTCCGTGTTTTGAGACTGCATAATGGAAGCACCAAAACTGACATACCTACAGATCCCAGCTCACTTGTACAACCTTATTAAAACTACAAGTGAGTTAACAATAATGTCTCACTAATATCTCTAGCTTATTCATTAGCATTTATCACCAGTAAAGCAATGGCCACATTTAATGTATTAACGCTGTTGCGACTCAAAGGTTCATTGTTCGCAGGAATGTTTCATTGACTGATAGCGTTGGCCGTTCAGGCCGGCTATCACTTTCACAATGGCAATGCTTTTTCAACAGTTACAAAGGAGTGAACCTGCATTGTAATCCGATCTTGATTAGAACGTACATGCAAGAACTTCTGAGGCTACATCTTACAAGATATTAGGATATCTTAAGCTATTCGTCTGTTTTGAGAATTTTAAACAACTCTGTATTATCAGGAACGTAATGGCAGACTTGCATAGCTGCCAACATTTATCACATGGAAATTCCTGAGAACAATGTCCCTTTAAATCACAAGCTGATCTGATTCTGGCTTTAGTACAGGTTGACAATGCCAATAAATAGGTTAAGGAACTGAATACACTTTCTTTTCATTTTAAACATCAAGCCATTAAATGGGAGGGTCTTTTTGGAGCCAGGATTGTCGTTAAATAAACTAAAATTGTTCAATAGGAAAACAAATGTAGATTTTTTTTGACACAATTCAGAATTTTAAATCTTGTTTAAAAATACATTTTAAGAAGCAATTTTCTAGAAACACCAAGAAGGGAATCCAAGATACACCTTCAATTGTCTGACTAGTAAATTAAATGTATCTCCACAAGGGAAGCTCTATTTTTTAAAATGTTTGTGAACAAACTTTTAAAGTTGATGATTTGTTCCAGTGTATTTCTGCGATGTGTCTAGTATTAATGAGTCATTCTATTCTATAGTATGATTACTTAGTATGACAATCCAGCTCTCATGCGTTCATGAAGCAATTTCATTAGAATTATGATTAAATGTAATTTCATGCTAATATTCAAGAGTAAAATGAAGCAGCTCACTGTCAAAACAAATAATCAAAAGGTTACAGATTTAGTGCTTTTTTTCTTATAATTTTCATCATGGCAATAAAATATATCACTTAGTATTAAAGGTCAAGGAATGACAGTTTCTAAATTGGGGTAGAAAGGCTGCAATTCAATTGACCAAAATGAAATGATCCATTTTCAATGCAGCATTTATTGCATCAGTACTCCTACTCTCGGAGGCCTGTGGCATTAACCCTTAAAGTTCTTTGAACACATTTGCTCCTTTACATCTTCAACTTCCAGATTTTAGAGTAAGAAATAGAGGGGTACAATAATAATAATAATAATAATCCTTGCAATCAACATAGTGCCTTATCATGTCATTGAGATGTCTCAAAGGGATTAACAGAATATGCTGTAAAGTGGATTGACTAATTTGTGGGTGAAACACGACAGCCAATTGGACACAGCAGTGTCCAACAAACAGTTGTGGATTCAGTAACCAATTTTTTTTGGTGGGGGTGGGATTATTACCCCCAGAAAATGATCCATCAATCAACTAACAACCATTAAGGATTGATTTACTCATATCTATAATGTAGCTGTTTCATTCTTTCATGTTTCAGCCTTTCATTTGTTTGAAAACCTACAAAATCACATACGAGTCAATAAAAAGATACTCCCGTCTCTTAAAATAAATGATGATCGCTGGAAGAAATAATTGATTCCAGTGTTTGAAGTTAAGTATAATTAAGTAGAAATGTTTTAACTAAATAGAAATGGTAAAACATAAGTAGGTGAATGACAAAAACAGACTGGTAATGAAAAACTAAGGATGTAGAGAAGAAATGAATGGAAAAGCGGATGCAAGAGGAGGGTAATTTATGTGAATTAATAATCCTTGCAGTCGACATAGCAACTCATCATGTCATTGAGACGTCTCAAAGAGCTTCACAGAATATACTATAAAGTGAATTGACTGTATATTTTGTGGGTGAAACGGAGTGACCAGACATGGATCGAGTGACCATTTTTTTTGGAGGGATTATTACCACCCAGAAAAGCGATCTGTCAATCGATTAACAGACAGATTCCTACTTACTTGCTGGGTAAACAGAGGCTTGAGGCATAAGGAAAGTTGCCTAAGGTAAATGAATAAATTTACTTGAATTGAAAACTGTTAGTTAAGTATTCTTTCAATGAAGATGATTATGTAACCATTTTTCCATCACCCCCGCCCCCACCCCCCAAAAAACAGCAATGCCCACTGAATAACAGTAGGCATGTTTGATGGAGATTTATTTTGTTCGAATTTTTCTTCTCCCCCAAGTTCATTCTCTGTATAAAAAATAAGCAGCTAACATTTACACACTGGCAAGTTTGTTATCACTCACTCTCCACTGTCTGTTTAAAGGACACACAGAAAAACATCCAAAACAACAAATTAGCGATTTAATTTCTCCTGACAGCTACCTCATCTCTGGACCTTTCTCACCGCTTTAATTTATGGCACAAATCCAGGGCGATGTCAGGCAGACTGACAAATTGGAAATTTAAAATCGAGATCTGACATTTACACAGATGTACTGCATTTCATAAGTTTTTATTTTCATTTTATAAGGAACCCTTTAGTGCCATACTTCATGGAGCGTGCAGTGCAGTGCAGTGCAATGCCCTGCCAGGCTTGTTCAATTCACTGCGACTTTGGTGTACTTCACCTTTCCATGTACGGGGTGATTATGTGCTGAGTAGATAAACCCTGATGTATGGGGTTAGTGGTGGTGCAATTTTTTTTGTGTGCAGGTTTTAAATGTCGATAATATCCCTGCTCCAATAATAATCGATTCGATGCCCTTAAGGGACCTAACAAGACCAGTACTGTTCTAACTGAGGCTGACGGAATAAATCCTGATGTGAGTGCGATGGTAAATATGGTGAATACTTCTGAAACACTAACACACATATCCTCCAAGTTCAGGGAGTGAAGCCCCTTTTTGATAACGAACATCACTGATTCCTTGTACTCTTGTAGACATTAATGTGCGATGTTCACCAACTCAAACTCTGCAAGTATAATAGGAAATACCTGGAGCTTAGTGCATAGACCTGGATAACCTTTACATATACAATATCAGCCACTCCAAAGAAACTCTCATGTCTCAGCATTTCCTAACCACTACAAGAAAATCAGACGTGTGGAGTACATCTCTGACAATGTCTCTCTGTCATCAATTCAGTGTATCCTGCTAATCCCAGAGATGTCTGCTGTAAGTGCTTAAAGCTACAAGTAGCCAACAATGCAGGATAGGAGTCACTTTAAGAGCCACTGGCAGTATTTTTTGACTGATCACCAGTCGACAGAGTGCATATATCCATTGCGTTGCAGATTTAACATCAGTCTCCTTACACATCGCTGCTTCATAAAGTCCAGGTACATTGTACGTGCTCTCTCTCTCTTAAACAGTTTATGAGAGATACCTATGCTTTTGTGATGTATCCTTTGGGCTTTTGCCCTACTCCAAGATGATCATAGAGGATAACACTGCTTGATACCGTTCCAAAGAATCACAAAATGTACTTGGATTTGCAATAAGTAGTGTTGCCCAAAAATGTGAAATCTACGTACCTAGATTGAAATCCAATCCTCTCTTCACAATAACCCTGAACAAAAGCTAGCAAAAAGCGATATTTTATAACCCAGCAAACCAAGGCCAGGAAAGAATTGTTTAGAATGCCACTTACTGCTTACCATTAAAGGAGACTTAATCGCCTTCACTGGGTTGTGGTGCACAGGAGAGCAAAATACATTAATGGGGTCCCCAAGCCTTGGCTCTTGCTAACCTGCGCCTAATACTTTCTGGAATTAGGTAAGCAGGATGCGTCTCTCCATGGAGACAGAGAGAGAGAGAGCATTCCATTCCAACGATCTATCTCTGGGATTTCTATGGATCTCTTAGTTTGGTTTGGATGCTCTTAAGCACGGTGATGGGT